TCATGCGTAAAACTTTGTGTGCTATTTCCAGTGATCACAACTGACATATTCATGTTAGGAAAGAGTGCAAGAATTTACCGCGCAAGATTCCTTTAATCTTGTGCACAACTTTAATAAACTAGAAAACACTCAGCCGGTATAGGTCAATGCGAAGAGTGTTACCAGCTCACCTTGATGTTTGTCGCCAAGGAGTGAGAGAGACCACCACTAGAACGTGACCGCCTGTTTTTACTTTTAGGCGTTTCACCAGTGATTTTTAACACGTTGACGACAGCATGACGCAGTAACGCGTCCCACCCAAGTCACCTCTTTTCCGTGCGCTAGTGCGACTTAATCCTAAGGTCTTTGTACTCATTCTACAGGTCAATCTTTAGCATTCTCAAAAATCACATGACTCATAGAAAGGCCAAATCTTCCTTAGTTTGACAGACGTTTTCCAGACCTTACCGATACGTCTGTTCAACATTCCTCGTTTTCTTTTTATTAATGTGGGATAAAAAGGTAGAACAAAAGTGGATACGAACCTATTCGTATCGGAAAATATGTGTTTTTGCTGAAACAACTACGTCCGAATTAATTTTGGAACCACTAGAGGGAAATTGAGTAAAATTTCCCTTTTCATGGTCACTCGTCATTTTGGTCAAATTTCCACTACTGTAACTCCTTGTAAGCTAGACTGATCGAACATCATTGAAAACATTTCATCACGTCTAAGAATTGCGGATTTACAACATAAGATCCATGGATTTGGTGTGCGGCGTGTGCGCTCGCAAAATCGCTGTTGTCCCACGCAGTGCAAAAGCAGAAAATGTGCGATGTCGTCAACGTGTTAAAGATTTTTGGGCTCTTAAGGACCACAACTTTCTTTAGCCTAGTTATCATCTAAAACAACGGTAAGTATAATAATACTAGGCAAAGGCAAGGTTTTCTCGAACACTTTGCTAAAAGTTTGGTGCTTCGAAAAATTGCCATTTGTATATTCTTGATGTTTTTAACCTTCGGACCTGATTTTTTTCTTCTAGCTATTGTTTATTGACTGACGGTGAATTCGTAAATATCATTGTAGCGAAATTTGAAGCTATTCAATCACAAACTAAGAAACTAGGAAGCTTTGAAATTTGGCACAGCTTCTAAGTTTTTTTTAGCTTATGCCGAAACTATTCCAAATTTCTTAGAGATGTCGAAATGTTTATGGTCTTGCACAACATTATATCTAACGTTTTTGATAAGAAATTGGATATATGTGATGTATTTTATAAATGATTTACACTTACCTAGCAGGTTGCGGGGACCAGCTCCGATTCATTGTTGCACTTGTACACAAACACTTGTAATACTAACAGCAACATACAATGAAATGGTGGGCCAGCGCATAAGGAAAGGTTGTCTGAAGTAACGTTGGCAGTGGGTAGTAAAAATAGGCTACTGCATCGGTAAGGTAGGCTTTTGAATGGGGGGCCATCGCCAGGGCCGAAAGTGTTGAACAAGTTTTTGAGATTGCGGGTTTTGAACTCTCAAGTCTTGTAATATCTTGCAAAGTTTTTCTTTTTTGTAGAATAGGCTGAGTGCTATGGAAAACAACGAGATCCAAGCTTTATATAATATTAATTGAACCTATGCATTCTGAAATTACGGTGCCACGAATCTTTCTTTTGTTAGAACTTTCTTTTGAGTATCGAGAAGTCAGCGTTTCCATGTCGCTGTACTTTTTCTCATTTTACTCAGATCCGAAAACAGACTCTTGCTCCGTCCAATGACAACCACTTTTGCGCACAGTAGATAGCCTTTGTAAGCACCCCTGAGCCAGCTCCTGGGTTCGTATTCAGATCAAAGAGGTGCACTTGGCACCCGCCCCTGTTGTGCTGAGGCCCAGTAGCCGGTTATTTTCAGGGCTCGGTGGCCAGTGGTTCTCTAAAATTAATGTCATCCGGTCTATATGGATCTATGGGTGCATAACGGTTTGCTCCCTCAAAACTAATTGGCATTAACTGTTGGAGCCGTATGGAGTTCTTACCACATAAGTTTTCTCTCTTAGATAATCAATAAGTCAATCGGCTGGTAAATACTCGATAACTACATACTTTGTATTACTTTCTGCAGTGATTGGCCAATGAATAAATAAAAAAAGGTATTCAGCCGAAACAAAATTTTTGAATCACATTCGAAGAATTTGGCGCCAACATTTCCTGCTGTGAGGTGCTACACACACACTCGCCTGACGATTGAAAGTTGCTGACGCGTTTGAAAAATGTTCCCCTCTCCCCTCCCCCTCCCTCTGCTATTGCTTGTGAAGGCCAGCTATTGTGATACAAATCGTCTTACGACGGAAGCACAAAATTATTTATGTGATAATCTTCAATTACACCGCATTGCTTTATATCTGTTTCGGCCCTTATGAACCCATTCTTCCACAGATGGGCGTCACCGGAAAGCATGTCGAGTGTAACTGTAACTCCGCATTGACTTTTACTTTCTAGGTAATACCAAATTCGATGAAATCCGGGTTCGGGGAGGGCCACCCGATGGCGCGGCGCTCTGCTCTTCCAAGCGCAGGCGGAATATCGCTGAGATTCCATAACGAAGCACGTGCGAGGACTCCTGCCCGATCAGAGACGATCTCGCGCGCGGACATTCACACTCGCCATTGCCGTGCGTCTGTGTCGCTAACGTGCAGGATGTTCACTCTCGGCACTACTCCTCGCATGGTAGAGAGCTATGGTCTAGGATGTCTCGACGCGTTACTGTCAAGCTATCACCGTGCGCTATTGACGCAGATAATGTGAAAGAAGAGCGGTCCCTGTGGACTAAGCCTTGGAGGAGCAGACGAACAGAGCGCCGCGCCATCGCGTGCCCCCCCCCGAACCCGAGTTTCATCCCGAACCCAAGGTAGCAAATTAGTTTTCTTGAACAAATTAGTTTTTTCGGGTCTCATCCGGTAAGGGGGGGGGTGCATTGTGATGCAACGTCAAGTGGCTGTCCTCACCCTCACCCCTAGACTGCCTTCACTCCCCTGGCTCACGGGGTCCCGTACTTCGAGAAACCTGTGCCAGGGGGAATGGAGGCAGTCTAGGGGGGGGCGGGAGGGCAGCCACTTGATGCCCCCCCCCCTTGGATGGATGAGACCCGTTTTTACATTTTCAGTAGTCATAACTTTCTTGATAACGGTAGTAGTGGTGGTGTAGTGGCAAGTGGCACGCTTACCAGCGAGCGGTCCGGGGATCAAATCATGGATCGTGAGTCGCCCGGGCCAACCAAGCCTTCCATCCCTTCAGGGTCGGTTAATTGGTACCAGACTTGTCTGCGAGGATAAAAAAAAACACTGACTTGTACATCGCTGGCCCCCGCAAGTCATTGTATCGGCCACATCGCATTCAAACGCCACTACGAATGTACAAATGGAAGTAGAATGCGTGCCGCATCCCACAAAGGTGTTGATCAACGGCGAATGCTTTATCCTTTATTCATCCTTTGGACTGTATTAGTCCATAATGCCTCAGGGAAGGTTATGTGCTTCGCGCTTCCTGCCAGGAAAAAGGATGATGGGTCGAAGCAGCCATATGCAATAAGCCTGCACTGTTGGATGTAGTTTTGGACGCTGATCTCGAATCAGCTTTCCAAAAGCGGTAGATGTCCGGGCTTACGGGTGAGAAGTCATAGGACCGATTCCCCTTTTACCTTCAGGCAACATGGTTGAAAAAGGCTTTCGTCGAATTTGTAGCCATCCACCCGTTAGAAAATCGATCCTACAACCTTTAGCCCGTGAGGCCGGAACGCTACCGCTGCTCCACCTTGCTGAATAACTCCGTTCATTGAATCCATTGGCAGACTTTGAAGATTCAAAGTCAGCGGCCAAAAATATGCCGAACAGTTTAGCTCTCATTGTATATGGCCACTTCGACCCATCATCCTTTCGTAGTGAGATCGTATCGCAGTCTACAGCAGCCGTATAGTTTCATTTGGGCAAATGTGGAGCAGCCAGCGGCTCCGTTATCCATCACCCGAACGTCGGATCCCGATTAGAATATCGCGCCATGCAAGATGAACCGCATCCAAATTTTGCTTTGGTTCTGAATGGAAGTGGAAAGCAGGATAATACTGAAGGAAGAAATTGATTGACCTCTAAATTTTACCCTTCTTTATTTCACTAGTCCTACAGAGAGGATAGCAAGTGTTGGAGCAAAACAAAGCTGTTATTTCACACGAGCATAATTTCTTTATGAATTTTTCATTGGAATTAGCACATGTCGCAAACGGCCAAGTGGTAAAGGTTCCAACATCACATTTGAAGTGCTAAACGCGTGTTGACGAAATCGGGGGTGCACCACAGTCGAGGGCGTGCTGTGGTTGGATAAAAAATTACTTTCACCATAGAACGGCGCACAGCTCTCAAACGACAGCTGGTACGTTCGATTGCGACGATCCTGTCAAGAGGAGAATCTTTGAGGCATTGCTTTGAGAAGTACTCACTGGCTTGAGCCGATTAGGACGTGAACTGCTGGTGCGCACTACCGATTTCGTCATCCTGCTTCGAAGGTTTCTGTCAAGGCTAATGTAGGAACATGCGATCAATTCTGATGAGCTGCTAATATTGCGACACTTTTTTACCGACTCCAACAAAAAAAAAGTTGTCAAGGAACTGTATACCCTTGAAATAGTACTAATTTGTGCGCGCCTATACTCCTCATAATTTCGATCAATAAGATTCGGGCACCCAACAGGAGCCCTTCGCGAGGCGAGAAGGCAGGGACTCACGGTTCAGCGGACGAGCTGCAGCGCGTACTGCAGCGATTTTGCGTCAAGTTAAATAGAATGTACTATAGTACGTCTGATATCGCCAATACTCTCTGCGACTCGTCTGCGTCTATGCTTCTCGCCGCGCGACACCCCCTGCGGGGTGTCCAGAAGATTCTGCTGCTCTCTCTCTCGTGTTTGGGCCTGTCTGTGTGTGTGCACGCGTTTGCAAATGTTCTACATACTTAAAGAGACTTGTAAGAGCATATTTATTCAAAAGAGAGCAATTTACTAAGGAAACTAATGTAAGAAATAGACAACCGAAGGATCTCAATTTTTGACAGCTTCTTCTCCACAGGTAACGTCGGCAGCAAGGAGCGAAGTTGCGCGAAAGCCATGTTAAACGATTCGACTCTTATCCTGTAAGATGAAATGATAATCGAGATGAAAATTCCGCTAAAATGCAAGAAAGCACACCAACAGTCCGTTCAAAGAGCAACTTCCACATTGTTGGACATTTGCCAAATCCCTGATAGACATCGGTGATTGCCTTTGCACTCCCTGTCACAACTCCAACCTCGTCTTGAGTGACCGATTCCTTTCTCTCTTGTCTTTTTTCTATTACTTTTCAGTTGAAAACTAATTGTTAGCTGATTGAAGTCATTGAATCCAGTCACCTCTTGGATCAGGCAAGGTCAAGAATTGCGCTGGTTAAATTTGGGGCTATGATGACCCTACCCATACTCATAAACTTGTAGAGGGATTTTCCAGACTCCTCATCACGATTATAATACTCATTTTCGGCGCTGACGCCATTTGATGCCGTTTGGCGCCAAGGCTAATTTCGCCAATTTTACTGTAAACTGTATATAGAGGTTTTTGGGATCTTGAAACCAAGTCAGGCTCAGTTCTAGTACTCAGCCTTGAGGGGGAGGAGGGACTCTAGGATGCGTAAACGTTTTCACTTCCCCCGGATTTCCTCCCTTCTATAGAGCTTGGTCTGAGGGGCCGCTGCTACCATGCTGCCGCGTGGCGCGTAACAACTCGTTCCTCCCTCTCCTATCCCGAGTCACCTTGTGCCGACTAATAAAAGTTTAATTCGGTGTCTGTGCTGAACTACCGCTATGCGTAAGATTACAGCGAATCTGGTGGAAGCAGCCCTGGCGCCAGCGTCAGAATGAATGTCATTTCCGTGGTCAGGAGATCGAATTACCCTTATACTCAAATCAACGAGAACTAAAATTTGAGATTTAGAGGGTGTAGTAGTTGAATAGTGCCAAGTTTGACGAGTTAGATATCCCTCGCTAAACGGGTATATGAAACGATTCGTCCATTCTTTTCCAATGAATGTGTCAGTAGTGATCATTACAGACAACACACAAAGTTTCACGCACGAAGATTCGGTGCTCGAAGAGAAACAAGCTCACGAAAACAACACTATGAACAGTCGAGGGTAAGTCGCGCGGAGCCAAAGGCGGGGCATGGAACGGCATGGGGCAGCTACGTATCAGGCGACGCAATGAAAGAATCGTTAAAGCGTTCAATTTCGGAGAATGGAGACATAACAATCGATAGAATATGATGCAGTAGATGTGTGATATGTCAGCGTAATAAGTAAAAAGGTCAAAAGAGCTTCCAGTGATAGCACTCCGTGAATCAAGTTAAAGCGTTCCCTTCACTAGTATTTGTGATAGATGACCAACGGGAACTTGGAAACGTGGTAGTCCTTCCGGTTTTTCGAATTGTTTATCAGAACAAATGCAATTCTTTTGGTTTTTCATTCTTATCGTGGGCGAAGGGGGCGAAGGGTCTCAAGTCACTGAATTATGGTTGAGGTGTCACCTGTATCACCTGTCGTCTCGTTGATCGTCGATTTGCTCGAGCGGGCGCCAGCAACGTCTCCATTCGTCCGTGTCGCGTGCTAGAGTGGTCCAGTGGATCCTCCTTGCTCGAGGGACACGAAGCCGTTCATTCCTTTTGTTCAGAGCTTTCGTGAAGAAGTCTGACCATCGAGCCGGCGGTCGTCCAGGTGTTCGTTCGACATGGTTGAGGTAGGATCACAATTTTTCTGGGAAGAATTGGAACAAAACAGCCTGCTTTACCATGGCCTCACTACTTTTCTGGTTAGGGCTTGACCGATTGATTTGGATAGAAATTCGTTTCCAGGGTTAATTTGAGCTTCATGTTTGAATAGCACACTCGTTTGGCCCGAAAGCGGCTGCCGAAAGCGCCGAAGTCGCTGGCGAGCGGGAGCCCTGGCCCGCCGCTCACACGTGCAATGACTCTCAGAATACGAAGCCATGTTTTCATGCAAATGATAGAAATTTTTCATTTAGCGTACTTGAACGCCTCTATTTACAAGTATTGATGCAATGTAACTGGGGGGAGGGGGGTGGAGGGGGGCACTTAAAAAGGCCTCTAGGACTAAGACTAGGCGGTAAGGACGAACTCCGGAGAATACGAAAATTGCTTCCGCACACCAGTCCCCCTCTTTGAAGGGTCTTGAAACTGAGCGTTCCCGTGATCTTGACGCAATGTTACGTGGTGGTCCCCGAGTCACATTACGCCCACGTCTTCATCAAGTTCATGGCCTTAACATTGCACTTCTCCAATATTATATTCGTTCCTTTTGGGTTCTCAAGACCGTTCAGCTGAAATGAAATTTTGTTTGTGTTGCAAGTATGCTGCAGAAAATCGTCACGAAAAGTGAGGCATGACTTGGACGGCCTTTATCGCTAGTCATGTGAGGCCACTTCGGTTGCTACGTTCAAACGCGTCTTAATCATCACAGTGTCGCACGGTTTTTCGCAAACACTCTTTCTTTGATCGCGTAACAAGATAACGGTACTTAGTCACTGTGATCATTCTAATCATGCGCACACAGGGCCAATCGTCTGTATGCTCGAGCTAAGGGGGGGGGATCCCAGTATCAAGTTCACGGATGAGGGGAGAAGTGGTAATCGTTGGACGCTGGCTCAGGACATGTAGCTTGATAATAAGATAAGGACCAGCATTTTCCACAAGACATTGTGAAAGGGAATAGAAAAGATTCAAAAGCTTTTGCGTTTCTTAAGCGCAGGCTGATGCGTGGCGCTCTCCACAACTAGAGCTGATAGAGCTAAAAACACCAATAGCTCCAAGTTAGACTCACCGCGACCAGGAAATTTGTAATATTAGGTTGGTAACTTTGAAATGTCGCTTCCTTTCGTGGCTTTGTTTCTCAGCTGAAACTCAACCTCGTAATATGGGAGAGTATCCATTCGATAGAGCAATTCAGTGCGCATATTGCGAAACCTTAGCCGTCAGCGAGCGGATGTTCTTTGAGCCAAAACTTTTGCTCGAACATGATTGATCAGAAAACATCGCCTGAGCGTGTATACTCAAGCAAAGAAAAACAGCGAACGAGTCCCACTAATTACGTGCAAAACATTGAGCAGCAACACTCAGTTTCTGTTGCACTTTCAGCCATGGTTTCAGCTCTTCTAAGACTGAGATAAAGGAGCTGATGACGATGGTCGTGGATTCTGATCTCTAGCTCCAGATGAAGGAGAAATAAAGTAGGCCAACGAATTGAGTCCTCGATATACCGCACAAAACTTGCATGGAGATTCAGTTGTGTCAACAGAAAAATTTGAAAGTTCCTACGTGCGTCTGTTAGGGTCTTCCAGGAGAGAAAATTGGGTTGCGGCCTATTGTTGAGCGAACGATGGGTTGCGGCCTATTGTTGAGCGAACGAGCCAATACTTGAACTCTGCTGCATAACTCCAAGAAGAAGAAGAAGGTTCCTTCGTTGAAGGCGTGTTTTACAGAAGGATGTTCCCCGATAACAAAGTGAGAAGATGGCCGTGGTTGGCAACAGATGGGCAGCTGAGGGCCTCTCCGAAACCGGACAGCCACAGAGAAAAAGTCTTGCTGCAGTATGGTGAAGCAGTATAAGAATGGCTTACTATGGAGAGCTGATTGTGCGTCATATAGTTACAGCTAAACTCTGCGCACAACATACCGCAGGCGAGGGTCCGGCTCTACGGAGTCAAAGGGCAAATTCGGTCATTGAAACATTTTGGCACAATAATGCAAGATCACATGTCGCGAAAATTTTGCAACAAGAAATCGAGGAGTTGGGCTGGGACGCTCTCCCTCTCGCGCCATATAGCTCAGACCTGGCACCCACCAATTATCACTGACTGAGGTCGCGCAATACTCCTTAGCAGCAAACTAAAACCACGACGACCCCATAATTTGAGTACCTAACTTCTTCGAGTCGTACCTGGAAGAGTTCTACGAGGTAGACCTCCTTGCCTTGCATAGGAAAAGGTGGAGAGTGGATGATACACATAAACGAAATAAATTAGGTTGATAAGCTTTGGTATGGCTTTTATACTTAAGATAATCTTTGATCAAAAACGACATTTCAAAGTTACCAACCTAATAGAACGGCCAGAAGGGCCAAAAACGGCAAGGAATGCTACGATACGGTTGGATTGACTTCTCGCGAATGAGGAGAAAATTTTTACAAGGGCTGAATTTGAGCGGGCATGGTTCCAACAAGATTCTCTCAGTACCCGTAGTTTTCAATGACATCAACCATCCTTCACAAAAGTTACTGCTATGTAGTATGGAAAACACGCATGTGCCGGAAAAAAAAAACTCCAAAATCCTGTCAAAAATTGATCAGATGGTTTTTTTTAGCTTTCAGTACTTTGCAAAAACATTGAATATCGTACTTTCTCATGCCAATTACAGATTCCCAAATAAGAAGGTGAAGTACATCATGACTGTCAAAAGTTGGAGACACAATGGCGTGGGAAAAAAACCAACTCGCAAACTTCTAAGAAAATAGAGTTTCGGAGAATTTTAGGATCATTCGGAGGTGAAATGACATGAGATTTTGGATTATTTGCCGTTCACCTGCAAGAAGTTGTGAAAGACCGTATCTTCGAAAAAGAGAGATGCGGAATTCTCTGGAATTTCAACATAAATCGTATAGCAGAAGCAATTTCTAGCTTTAGCTCGAGGTAAGGCAGGCAGGTTTGTAAAAGTAGAAATTACGAAGAGTTCAAATCCGCCTGTTTTTTTTCACTTTGTCGAAGGGAATTGAAGAATTTGGAGGGAGTTATGGAGAGCTAAAGAGCCCTGCAGGGTGTCTTGTACGTATATACTCCACCATATTTTGAGCTTCATTTGTGTGGGCCATAGTTTTCTGGTTTGTTGTTTTTTGGCTGGTAGATCCTTACTCCTCATAACTCTTGTAAATAAGCTTGCCAAGTTCCATGAATTAGCGTTACATCTCACGATGCCCCCAAAATCTTCCTTCAAAGCAACACAGCACCCCCCCCCCCTCTCGCCCTCAGAACCTGATGGAATCTTCTGCTGCATATTTGAAGGAGGATTCCACGATGAAAACGGAGATCGAAGAAGAGGAAACTTACATAGTGAAGAGACACGCGTGTCGCTCCCCACATCGGTTTGACACGCTATTCGTATTCGTATCAAAGGATATGCCCTGGCGATCTAGCATTGCCTTCCACGCTACGCACTCGGCTCACTATTGGCACGGTACGCCCCACCCCACCCCACTCGCGTCGTCTCGTGTCTGAGTCTCTAGTCATTCGGCACAGAGGGTTTAGCGTTTGAAGGAAGCGATTACGATGAGGAACTTTCGCATCCGGGAAGAACCTGCGCCACACGGAGCAACTACTTGGCTGCCAAGGAAGCAATAGGTGGCGGCTCCACGGCGAAAGGTGCTGTGGTTGCTGTGCAGGACCTCCGTAGCACTCTGCCCCCCAGCAGCGTTACGCCCTCAAGTTTACTTGTTGATTTGGACGAGCTGCGTGACCAGCAGCGGCGCAAATGGAGTATCTCGATTGAAGCGTACTTCGGCATGGTTCCATCGAATTTGTTGCGGTGAACTCGTTCATACGTTCTCTTTCTAAGCTGTTACCGTTCACGAGTTGAAACCAATGGAAAAAAGAAGTTCTTGTTTTATGTTTTCTTGACGGATTTTTCTGCATTTTTTCGCCGCTGGGTACCACTGTACACCACCACGTCACGCCAAACCCTTCTTGAATTTATCGTGACCGCTACCTTTAATATCACAGTAACGATGAGAGCCGCATCAATGCATAAATGTAGGGGCAAGAAAGGGGTTTAATTACACGGACTCCGGGCCATTTCTCACGTTCTGTTCTTCTTTCGTGCATCACTGACCATTTCTAACTTGATGTCTCTTGGGTTGTCTTTTCATCGTAAAATCCACCTTTAAGTTCAATAGCATATGCCATGAGAGTGAAAGCAAGTTGATTGAATTAAATTACCGTTCTCTTGTTGCATGGAGGTTTCGATACTTTGGAGTTGCTCGCCTTCGCTTGCGACGCTCAGCCTTCGACAGTTTGCGGTAGTCCTTCTGCACTCGGTTTGCATTGTACATCGTACACGAAATTGCCACTTGTTCAAATGGAGTCTTGTCCATTTTTTCTGAAATGGTCTGGAACTGATACGGAAACGGAACGTTATTTATTGCCGGGTACCATAACGGAGATGAACAGCATAAGTGCTTTTGACATTAGTGTCTTCAATGATATGACCTGGTGATTGGAACGGTCTGGAAAAGATGGTTCACTTTCGTGATCGTGAAGTGAGGTTTGAGTACGAAGTTTAAAGGATAAAAGCATTGGCCATTGATCAATCCCTTTTTAGGATCCGACTCGCATTCGGTTTCCACTTGTACATTAATAGCTGCGTTAAAATGCGATTTGCTTATGGACAACGGGGGGGGGGGATGAGGGGGTAGCCGATGTGCAGGTCGAAATTCTTATCCTTCTAGACAATTCTGGTACCCATTAAACGGCCCTGTATGAAAGCCTTGGTTATCCGTACGGCGCACGACCCAGGATTCGATTCCCAGGTTCACGCGTGTGGTAAGCAACGCTCTTGCCACTACACCACTTCCGCCTCATGGCAAAGCTTATAGAGAAGGATTTATCACCTTTTCCCTCAAGCAAAGCTTATGAATTCATTAATAGGATGGCTACGGCTCACATGTAGCTCCATGTTTGTTTGGATTTACGATAACATGCTTTGGCCCTTCCGCTGCCTTCTTATGCTGCATGTACTGACAAGCAACATGGATAAGGCTTGACTCGTCCTTTATCATTGACAGTTCTGCCCTCTTCATGTATCTGTGCGAATTCTGATTCCTGCTTGACAAGCCTACTTCCTGCAGGGTTATAATCTACTTGGATAGCCAGCGATTTTGTTCTTGGACTAGATTCTGAAGTGACTGAGTGTTTTTTTTTTCTGAAGACGATTGTTATTTGGCCATCAGTTGCAATTTTAGCGCTAATGGTGGTCACTATTGGAATTATATTATAGCACATCAACCACTTCAAGCATTTGGTGGGTCGCTCAGGATTTTCTGCCAATTTTCGATACTCCAGTTTGATGCTTCACCTTGTTTGATCTATTGGAGGTTTCCACTGCTCTAGTATACACCATTGCAAAAAGCTTGTCATGCACTATCTGACAGTGGGGTCACCTTTGCTCCAAAGCGTTTCGTTACAACATTTTGAAGCCTTGAACTTCATTCAAAGAACAAGTTTGCATGATTTTCGTTTTTAGCTCAAATTAGGCCAGGAAGCAGGTAAAAATCTTAAAGATGCACTCAGCAGATTCGCAGCAAATGTGCTCTGAGGCATTGTACATAACATTTTTTTTTTCAGCGATAGAGAAATTCTTGAAGGTGATGAAAAGAGTGGTCGCATATCAGACGCTGCCACAATTGGCCTGTGCTCTGATTGAAGCATGCACACTTGAAAATATTGAGGCGCTTCTCCCCGAGAAGGACGTAACTTCTTTGTGAATTCCAGCCATTCGAGGAGAACCAACTTCTGGGGTTTCCAGCCATACAGGGGGAACCGGAAAGTCTGAAAAATTTGATGCATGCCCTGACAGACCATCATTTTGAAAGGTCGTTTCCCGTTTTGTAGCTTGCTTTACATTCTGTAAACGGCTCTTCTATTGTGCGACACACGAAAGAGTGCGAATTCTTACTTTACTATAAAATGCGAAGATTTGTGGTTACAAGGCTTTTGTCAACCAAAGGGTGAGAGCGTGCTTGAAAGAACACACACTTTGTGTCTTATTGGGACTAAGCCTTTTGAAAAAGACAAAGAAAGCAAAGTGCTATGATAGTGTGCACTTGTGAAAGCTCGTAGACGTTACTACAAAACCTTGAATCGCCAAGGCTCACTATTGACAGCAGTGAGACCGAATGAATGGATCGAATGAAAAATCATGAATGGTTGAATGGATCGACCACGACCAAGTTCCATAAATATCGCAAAACTGACACTGCACTGAAGGCCGATGTCAGAATTTGCGAATCCACCGGTTCGCGAGCGTCCTCGGTCACGTCGCGGCCAGCGAATCGCGATTTGCTGGTACTGCAAAGCGATCGCCGTCCAGCGAACCGCTCGATTTGCTGGTACCGCAGAGCGACCGCCGACGCTAGCGAGTCGCAAAGTCTGACTTCGGGCAAAGAGGATCATGATGCCTCCACAAGACCAGCGACCTGCCTAACCCACTGGAACCAGGTAATACTGTAACAGTGAAAGAGTTTTCTTGAAAATATGTCAAGTATACCAAAAACCCCAACGCTGGGCCCAATATTTCAATTCGTAAAGGGACCGACAGATCCCTGACAGGTGTCTTGGAAGCATCAACGAACTCTGTGCAAGTTGATCAAAATGATGCTGCAATTATCTTACTCGATAGTCCTATTGCCTATCCAGTGTTCCTTTTCGAAGGCCTCGATAGCTCTCTTAGAAACAAATGTCTCAAAGCTCAACATGGTCTTGAGACAGCTTTTGCCGAGTTCTCATATTTCGTATGGAATTGACATTCCTCTTCTGAAAACTAAGGTGGTAGACTTCATAAATTTGTTAAAGCAGCCAAAAAAATGAAACAGTGTATGGTTTTCACTTAAACATGTTGAAAACACAGTGTGTTTCGAAACTATAGGGGCATCCATTAGACCAGCTGTCCCTACTTGGAGTGAAGATTTCAAGGCTTTCAGACTAATTAATTAATTTCAGCATACTCTTAAACTGCAGTCCTATTTAATCAAAAAGCAATATGAGCTACAAATATTTTTATGAGAAAATTCAATAATGCCTCCTGTTTCAAAGGTACACCCAGGGGATTAGGATTCGGAAGGAAGATCTCTTCCTTCTGTGAACTCATTTGCGATTGTTGAATCTTTCTATCTCACCTTCATGCTCTAGACACCTTGTCAGAATGGGGATGCTTTTTTGTTAGAGATGTTGCTAAATGAGTTTCTTTGCCTGAATGAACTTTAATACATGCGCACATCACACAGTCGTGACAACTTTACTAGTCGTACTTGGGGCAGATCCCTAAAAATCTTCTTTCTCCTTGTGTCGTCTATTGGAAATCGCAACCTCTCCCGGCTCACTTCCGCCCATGCGATTCGTTCAATTAGCAATCGGCTCCATTATCCGGCACTTAGGAATAGATTTCAAAAACTGAAGAGGTCTCTACAGCTGAAACATGACTGGTCGGGCCTTTCCCCCTTCCCTTTTCTAAAGTAAAACCTCATCGATCGAGAGCTGACGCATATGCTCATGCTCATCCTCATCGCATTCCGGCAGGATAAATATCGGCGAGGATTCCTCAACAGCTGAACGAGGATTCTTGGCTAAGGATCAGTTACGTTCTCAAGCACGGACATTCACATTTGCCATGCGCGAGCCGTCTGTGCTTTCCGCGCGTATGTACGTTCACTCTCGACACTACTTGAACACAGTAGCACTACTAGAACCATGGTCGAGCACTTTTATACCGTTATTCACCCTGAATTTCGGCTCGTTTTGTAATGAGGGGTATCATCAAATGCAAGCGACTCGTCGGATGCAAACTTTTACCGACAGTTTTCTCTTCCGACTCATTCAGCGGTTACTGGACTTCCTACACGAACTATTCCTCTGCGGTACTCACGACAGCCTACAATTGCATCGAACTGATTGATCAGGTTTGCGGTGCGTCCTCCATGGCAAAATATGCACATCTCAACCCGCCATCTTACATACTATAAAGCGCTTCGTCTGTCGTTCTGTCCCTCTGTCTGTCGTTCTGTATGTCTGCCACGAAATTCCCTGGCTCCTCGGGATCCGCCTGGAGGGACCGGGTCAAGTGTGGGATGGGTGGGCAGGGTCTCACGTAATACAAAACACACATCAGCTAAACGGAGGGGAGAGAGAGATGACGAGAAAATAGGATTAATGTTTGACGAAGAACAGAGCGCATAGAAATTTAGCGGAGCACTTCCAGATATTCGTATTGTATCAAGCCATTGAAATTTATCGTCGCCCCGATCAAAATTCGCGCACAGCGAGTATGCTGTGTTG